GGAAATAAACCAAAAGAGAGAGATTTAAAATGTAAACCAGGGTTCAAGGATTAGGTTATCCTGGGGAACCTTGTTCCATTCTTAATATTGCAATGTAGCTTTTTAAGTTGACCACAATATTTATTTTAAGAATTGTTTGGAATATTTTCTTAGCTAGTCAGCACTGACCAGAGGAATTTTGACCATTAAGCCACATGTACGGACTTTTAGACATTATTTGGAAAAATTTTGAGTTTGTCACACTTGGTAAATGTCATCTGGATTTTGTCATATGAATTGGCCAAATTATTATTGGTTGAATTTGCAACTGAAAATTTGATATTTAACCAGACAGGTTTATTGCAGTATATGTAAACATTTGTTTTCTGGCTTTTTATGCTCACATTTTAATTCTTAGGATGCAGCCATAAGGAATTTTGTTTTGCTGCATTGATGTGCCCTATTTATTTGCTAATATTGCCTGTATGAAACAAATAAAGAAAACGTTAATTAATCTAAGTTTTAGGTTTTAGATGCCCAGTGTTTTTAAATCCTTCCCTATAGTATGAAGGTAAAAAGAATGGGTGTGGGCACCTGGGAGCATCTTGGATGTTAAACAAGGAACTCCGCCCCTCAAAACAACTTTGTTTACATGAAGTAGTTTGGAGGGTATTAAGTATCTTTAAATGCACACATACTTGAATGTAATCTTTTTTTATCTGTACATGTTATATCTGACAGGACCAACTCATCTATAAAATGCAGCTTGAAAAATAGATGGTAATATCTATCTATGGATATTTCTTAATACATTTTTTTTCCAATTTATACATATGTTGTATGTATGTAGAAATGCTGTACTTTGTACAAATGTCGGCTATCATTACCATTTTGTATTACTATAGCCTTATCTCTGGTGTTTGGAATCAATATTCCCTTACTTGATCTTGTACTATCATGTATATTTGATTGCTATGAAATTAAAGATCATGCATCCATATTATTGATTATCATCAATGAAGCCTGATTGAGGAGATAATGGCTGTGTATTTGAAAGCTGGATGATTGAAGGTGACAAAATTAAATAAATGACATAAAACGTCTAGAGGTCAAAATCCCCACAGAAATGTAAATTATTGGTTATCAGTTCTGAGAATGTAATGTTAATGTAGGATTTTTACAAGAAACACATTTGAAAGTGATTGGCCTGACAATAAAAAGCCATCACTTCCCAAATATAATTGTATTAGGTTATAGTTTTTAAAGAACTATATCTAAAAGTTGTTTTTGATCTGTGACCTACAGAGGAAAGTTTATTCTTTACTTAATCTGTATGCTGCTAATAAATCTCCTCAACAATTAATTAATAACCTACTAACCAAGTTCGAGGAAATGGTCCAGGAAACTTTTGTGGTGGGTGGGGTTCTAAATTGCGTGATGGATGTGGTATTGAATAAAAAGGTTCCACGGAAAATGCATAGTTCATAATTGAACTGCTTTCTGGTCAAGTCACAGATATTCCAATCATGTTATTCAGTTCACAATAGGGTTATTACATTGACAGATCTTGGTGCAAGATATAGGAACAGATGTAGATAATAAAACGCACTCGACTCGGAGATTAGACAAGAGGTTGTTGTCTGACACTAAAATTATTGAATACTTATCTGATAAGATGAAATTATATTTTTGAAGATAATATTACGAAAGATATACCAATGTCAGCTATATGGTGTACATTTAAAAGTGTCACTCAATGATATCTTATCAAACTGGGGTCAGAAAATTAAAAGAAACAATGCTTTTTGCCAGTTTTATCTTGAATTGTATAATTTAAACAAGAAAAATTAAATTTCACCTACAAAACAGGTTGGTGTAAAGATATCTGAAGCAATGGACAGAATTAATTCCATCTTGATGTCTAAAGCCAACCATATCTCAAACATTTTACCAGAAATGGTACTATACAGGTACGAAAGGTAAAAAATCATAAAGCTAGGGTTAGAATTGATAAAATAGTAGTGGATGGCCATAGTTATAGAGCCCCAAAATTAATTGGTGACACTTTCAATAACTCCTATGCACAGCTGTACAATCTCTTGTATGACCACCAGGTGGCCAATTTATAGCTAAATTCTTGGAAAGGATTCCCCTTCCTGAATTGTTAGTTGAACAAGTGAGAGAATAAAACTAACCTTCGCTATTCCGGGGGATGTAATTAATAATCTTAAGATAAACAAGGTATCCACTAAACAAAGTTTACTCATTGCTTAGTGGATACATTTAATGAGTGTGGAGAATTAGGATCTCCCCCAAAGGAACTTCTACAAGCCACAATTTCATTTATATTAAAAAAATGGGTGGAAAAGATCCCAAAAATCCCTCAAATTATAGACCCATAAAGTTAGTGAAAAAAGTATTTGATCTTCTGCTGATTTTGAACATTTGCCCACTGACAAAGAAATGATACATCTATAATTTTAATGGTAGGTGTATTTTTACAGTAAAATACAGAATAACAAAACAAAAAAATCAGAAAAACGCATGTGAAAGTTATAAATTGATTTGCATGTCAATGAGTGAAATAAGTATTTGACCCCTTCGACTTGGTACTTGGTGGCAAAACCCTTGTTGGCAATCACAGAGGTCAGATGTTTCTTGTAGTTGGCCACCAGGTTTGCACACATCTCAGGAGGGATTTCGTCCAACTCCTCTTTGCAGATCCTATCCAAGTCATTAAGGTTTGGAGGCTGATGTTTGGCAACTCGAACCTTCTGCTCCCTTCACACATTTTCTATGGGATTAAGTTCTGGAGACTGGCTAGACCACTCCAGGACCTGAATGTGCTTCTTCTTGGGCCACTCCTTTTTTGCCTTTGCTGTGTGTTTTTTTTGTAATGGTCATGCTGGAATACCCATCCACGACCCATTTTCAATGCCCTGGCTGAGGGAAGGAGGTTCTCAAACAAGATTTGACGGTACATGGACCCATCCATCATCTCTTTGATTCGGTGCAGTTGTCCTGTCCCCTTAGAAGAAGGAAGGGTCTTCCAAACATGGCGAGTTGAGTTGATGCCAAAGAGCTCGATTTTGGTCTCATCTGACCACAACACTTTCACCCAGTTCTTCTCTGAATCATTTAGATGTTCATTGGCAAACTTCAGATGGGCCTGTACATGTGCTTTCTTGAGCAGGGGGACCTTGCGGGTGCTTCAGGATTTCAGTCCTTCATGTCGTAGTGTGTATCAATTGTTTTCTTGGTGACTATGTTCCCAGCTGCCTTGAGATCATCAGCAAGATCCTCCTGTGTAGTTATGGGTTGAATCCTTACCTTTCCTATGGTCATTAAAACTCCACAAGGTGAGATCTTGCATGGAGCACCAGACCGAGGGAGACTGACAGTTATTTTGTGTTTCTTCCATTTGCGAATAATGCCACCGACTGTTGTCAACTTCTCACTAAGCTGCTTGGCGATGGTCTTGTAGCCCATTCCAGCCTTGTGTAGGTCTACAATCTTGTCGCTGACATCCTTGGACAACTCTTTGGTCTTGGAATCTGATTGATTGCTTCTGTGGACAGGTGTCTTTTATACATACTAGGGGAATTGATAGGGGATCAAATACTTATTTCACTTATTGACATGCAAATCAATGTATAACTTTTGACAGCCGTTCTTCTGTTTTTTTGTTTTTGTTTTGTTATTCTGTCTCACTGTTAAAATATACCTACCAATAAAATTATAGATTGATCATTTCTTTGCCAATGGACAAACATTCAAAATAGCAGGGGAACAAATACTTTTATTCCCTCACTGTATCCCTGATAAATTCAAACATTTAAATGCATTAGGTTAAAGACAATAATACCTTCCCGCATCAAGATTTGTCCGTGCTACAAGTAATAACACCTGCAGTGGACTTGATTGACTATATTATGAGAAGAAAAATCCCTCAGCAGGTCCTGTCACTTGACTGTGAGAAGGCATTTGACATGGTCAGCTGGGGAATCATGAGTCAGATTCTGGACAGATGTGGTTTTACGGGTCTAATTAAATCCGCTATAATGGCCCTATATACAAATCCAATGGATACGACTGTGGATCCTGGCATCTCTGTGGATGTGTTTACTATAAAAATTTTTAACCATTCAGGACTGGCCTCTTGCACCCCTTAATTATAACTATTGAATCTTTTGCTGTGAGTAAAAGATCTATCACTCAAATTAAAGGGTTTAACATTGACCATTCTGATTATAAGATAAGTATCTATGTGGATGACATAATCCTAACACTGACAGATCCAGACTTCTCCTTGGGGGCATTAATTTTGGAGATAGCAAACGATAGTAAAGTCTACAACTATGAATAAAACATAGGGAAATCCAACATTATGCTCATTAATCTAGACCACAATCTGATTTCATGTTTATCACGTAAACATCTATATGCATGAACTTGACAAGGTTTTATACACTTTGGAATCTGTTTCTCCCCAAAAATAAAAGTGATGGTAGAAAAAAATAATCCTTTTTAAAGAGACTAGTAACAATATATTAAAGGTATAGAAAGATATTGGAATCTCTTAGTTAGGTAGAATAAATATAATTAAAATGTGTACTTCCCAAAATGGTCATATGTTTTTAGAATGATCCCTATATTAATACCATTATGGAGACTCAGGCAGACACATTATTTATGAGATATATCTGGGGGCTTAAGAGACCTAGAATTGCAGTAGCTTTTATAATGAAGCTAAGGGCGACCTTGCAGTATTAAATATTATTAGATACTCTGAAGTTAGGAGAATGTTCCATCTGTAGAGATATCAGGACCCGATCTCAAGAGATGAACCTTTGTACAAAATCAAGGCTTTTCTGTTCAAGAGGAAAAAAGGAAGAAAAAGGAGAAATAGTGCAAATATATCTGTACATATAACAAGCTATAAGGTAGTATAATTATCAGACTCACAAGCTCTAAGCCAGGGGTTCTCAACGTTAGTCCTCAGGACCCCCTACCAGTCCAGGGTTTAGGGATTACCTGGGTGTGTCTCAGGTGTTTTTTAAACACCTGAGACACACCCAGGTAATCCCCAAATCCTGGACTGGTAGGGGGTCCTGAGGACTAGGTTGAGAACCCCTGCTCTAAGGTAATAAATACACTTGACTCTAGTGGATAAGTTTGGTTTGATAATTATGGGAGATCCTTAAGTGTAGTGTAGTGGTGTTGTGGAGACATTCTCAGGCACCGAGTGTAGTCGTATTATGGAGACAGGCTTGAAGACTATGGTGAGGCCGGATAGAAAGCATTTGTTGTTGGGGAATTCTATCATAAGAGGTGTGGAACTGGACAATAGTGTTCTTGTGAGCTGTCTTCCTGGAGCTTCTGCTTAGAGATAGGATTCGTATTTTGTAATATTGTTAAGTGAGATAAGCAGGAAGGGGAATTGGATGTACTTGTCCATCTAGGGACAAATGACTTGGCTTAGATTGAGGTTTCAGAGGTAAAGGAAATTGTTTGTGTTTTTGCCAATGATATACGGCAGGTTGCTTCCACACTGTCATTCTCTGAAGTTCTGCCTGTGCATAACACTCAGAATGACAGGCGGATGCATATTAGGGACTTAAACTTGTGGCTTGGTGAATGGTATTGGGAGCAAGGATTTGGCTTAATTTCTCATGGTAGCTCTGTTTGGAATGGAAATAAACTGTACAAAAAAGATGGTTTGCATCTTTCTCAAAAAGGGAAAAATGTTCTCAGTGAGTAGTTCAGAGGTTTTGCTAGTATGTATTTAAACTGGGGGGGGGTCAAAAGGGTGATAAAACATCAATCCAATCCACCCAAAAACAAAGACAGAAGGTGCCTGTAGCAAGTGTGTTAAAAAATTATAAGCTTGGAGTCATGTCTACAAATGCTCACAGTTTAGGAAATAAGATCAATGAACTTGTGGCAGTAATGGCAACTGATAATGTAGATTCAGTCGCTGTTACTGAGACATGGTATAATGAGAAAAATGACTGGGACATAGCAATACCAGGGTACTCTTTATATAGAAAAGACAGGGAAGGCGGTGACCTTGTATGGGAAAGGGGAAGCGGTGGCCTTGTATGTGAAGGATAGCATAAAATCTAGCATAATGAAAGTTAGTGAGGCGAACATAGAGTCCGTTTGGGTTAAGTTAGAATTTGGTAATCACACAGTAACTCATGTAGGTGTGATTTATATCTCCACAAGACAAATAGGAGAGTTAGATAATCTATTAGTTGAGGAAATGGCTAAAATGAAAATGAAGGGGGAAGTTATCATCATGGGTGACTTTAATCTTCCTAATGTGAACTGGAAAACCAAAATTGCTGCATGTGTTAGGAGCACACATATTCTAAACTCCCTACTGGGATTGTCTCTAAAACAAGTCGTGTGGGGCCAACTCATACAGAGGCAATACTAGATTTAGTGTTAACAAATGGAGATCTGGTATCAGATATTACTATAGGTGAAAGTTTAGGATCCAGTGATCATCACTCAGTGTGGTTTAATATAAGAACAGTGACTGAGCCACAACACACAAAAACAAAAGTTTTAGACTTTAGAAAAAACAGACATTTCTAAAATTAGAATATGTGTAAAGGAGTCATTATCAGACTGGAGCAGTTTAAATGGAGTCCAAGAGAAATGGGATTATTTAAAAGTTGCACTGCTGAAAGCAACTGAAACTTGCATTAGGCTTGTCAGTAAAAGTTTAAAATTTAAGAAACCACTGTGGTACTTCGGAGATGTGGCCAAAATAGTATACAACAAAAAAATCTGCATTTAAAAATTCTAAAAAAGAAAAACCAGGTTGAGTAAGATAGGCAGATCTAGAAGATTGGGCAGAAAGAGGCTAAGCAAGTTCTAAGCGCTTCCAAATCACACACAGAAGAGAAAATAGCACAGTCAGTAAAACAAAGGGGGGCAAAACATTGTTTAGATACATAAATGAGAAAAGGAAAGTAAAACAAGGATTAGTTAGATTAAAAACAAAAGAAGAAGAGGAGTATGTAGAAGAGGATAAAGGTCTATTAATATTTTTGTTCAGTATTTACAGATGAAAATGAAGGAAAGGGGCCTCAGTTAGGGAAAAGGACAAATGAGTCATTTGTTACATGTGAGTTTACAGAGGAAGAGGTTCTATTTCAACTGTCAAAAGTAAAGACAAATAAGTCAATGGAGCCTGATGGAATACACCCAAAGTTATTAAAAGAGCTTAGTGGTGTACTAGCAAAACCATTAACGGATTTATTTAACCAATCATTGTTAACAGGAGTAGTTCCAGAAGATTCGACATTAGCCAATGTTGTTCCCATTTACAAGAAAGGTAGTAGGGAGTAGTTGGGCAACTAAAGGCCAGTAATCCTCGCTTCAGTAGTGTGGAAAGTAATGGAAACCATGTTAAAGGGTAGGATTGTTGAACATCTAAAATCAGATGGATTTCAAGATCAGAGACAACATGGGTTTATTTCAGAGAGATCATGCCAAACTAATCTTATTGATTTTTTTTGATTAGGTAACTAAAATAATAGATCAGGGTGGTGCAGTAGACATTGCTTACCTAGATTTCAGTAAGGCTTTTGATACTGTTGCACATACAAGGCTTATCAATAAACTTCAATCTTTACATTTGGATTCCAATATTGTTGAATAGGTAAGGCAATGGCTGAGTGACAGGCAACAGAGGGTTGTAGTCAACGGTGTATATTCGAAGCATGGTCTTCTTACCAGTGGGTTACCTCAGGGATATGTACTTGGATCCATTCTCTTTAATATTTGTATTAGTGATATTGCAGAAAGTCTTGATGGCAAAGTATGTCTTTTTGCTGATGATACTAAGATATGAAACAGGGTTGATGTTCCAGGAGGGATAAGCCAAATGGCAAATGATATAGGTAAACTAAAAAAATGGTCAGACTTGTGGCAGCTGACATTTAATGTGGATAAGTGCAAGATAATGCATCTTGGACATAAATACCCAAGGGCAGAGTACAGAATATTTAAGTCCTAACCTCAACATCTGAGGAAAGGGATTTAGGGGTAATTATTTCAGATGACTTAAAGATAGGCAGATAATGTATGAGCAGCAAGAAATGCTAGCAGAATGCTTGGTTGTATAGAGAGGTATTGACAGTAAGAGGGAAGTGCTCATGCAGTTGTACAGAACACTGGTGAGACCTCACTTGGAGTATTGTATGCAGTACTGGAGTCCGTATCTCCAGAAGGATATTGATATTTTAGAGAGAGTTCAGAAAATGGATTCTAAACTTGTTCATGAATTGCAGAATAAAACTTACAAGGAAAGGTTAAAGGATCTTAACATGTATAGCTTGGAGGGAAGACGAGACAGGTAGGATATGATAGAAACCTTTAAATACATAAAGGGAATCAACACAGTAATGGAGGAGACTATATTTAAAAGAAGAATAACTACCACAACAAGAGGACATAGTCTTAAATTACAGGAGAAAAGGTTTAAAAATAATATCCAGAAGTATTACTTTACTGAGAGGGTAGTGGATGCATGAAATAGCCTTCCAGCTGAAGTGGTAGAGGTTAACACAGTGAAGAAGTTTAAGCATGTGTGGGATAGACTTAAGGCTATCCTAGCTATATATAAGGCCTAATGAAAGTAAATAAAGTAAAAATACTAATGAAAGTATTTAGAGAATTGGGCAGACAAGATGGGCCAAATCGTTCTTATCTGCCGTCACATTCTATGTTTCTATGTCCAGCATGATGAGCTGGAGGTGAAACACAACCCTGTGCTCCACTTTGTGGATGCTTTGGCTGTCAGTGTTTGTGACACATCATATGTTACACTTTGTGATCATTTAAGTTCTGTGTAGTACAGGTATTTGGAACGTTCCATGCGCTCCACTTCGAGCAAAGTGCACTAGTAATGAGTCTATATTCATGATCAGAATTCAGTCTCTTAAAAACCTACATCAGTACTAAATGTCCATATAAATATACTGTTTAATTTAATGCTATATTGCAAACTTCTGGAATAAAAGGGAATCATGACATGTCACACATGTCATGTGTCCTTAAGGGGTTAAACCTGTAAACATATTTTATCAACATTAAAAAAAAGACAAGTTAAAAATGATTAAACAACCATAAATAAAACCCAAGCCACAATTATAGACCCCATCAAAGGTGACAATATATTGCCAGAGGTGTGCTCCTCACTTTTTATTGTATTATTAATGTGTAAAATACATAACATTTATTTATTAGTTACAAATATTGAATCCTCAAAATTACAATTACAAAATCCTATAAGGGCTATGGGTATTAAGACCTAAAATACAATTTTAATTCTGTATTATTTTTTGTGTTTGTGGATATCCTGAATAAAATATATCAAAACTATGTTATAAAGCCTTCCCTTAAATTAAAAAAAATACAAATTTAATGATTTGCGGCTAAGGTGTTAAAGTTAAAAATAAGTTCCATTTCTTCAATTCCCATTTTTTATTATAATCTCGCAATTCTCAGTGCGCAAAAAAATAATCCTTCTGGATTTTGATTATGGGACACTTTAAAGTGCTGAGAGACACTATGAGTCTCCAAGCCTTTTTTAATGTTCAGTACATGTTCAGCCACTCTGACATATTAGGCATCTAATGGTCCTTTTAAGAAATAAAATACCACAGGGGCACTTTACTACATATATGACTCCTATTGAAAAATATGTCAAGTGGTCTCTAATCTTAAAATCTTTACCCTTTCTGTTTACTATACATCTTTTTTTTATTTGTTGTCCCCCTACAAGTCAAACATAAACCACATCCATAAAAACCAATGCCTTGATCTAAAAACATATTTGGTGGTTTAAATCTTAGGCTGCTTTGTACCAGAGTTTTATTTTATTTATTTTTGGTGCTTTTTTTAAACCCTTTTATATTGTCTTATAATGTGGAGGCACTATATCGTTGAAATATGGTTGTTCTGCGAAACATGCCAATTTATCTCTATGTATACGCCTATTGTTGCCATTAAAGTTGCAAATGAAAGGGATATCATTCTTTTTCCTCTTACTTTTTGTAGATTATGAGGTTCT